TGGTCAAGTCTGACATACAACTGGTTTGCATTTTAACCACCAGGCCTGTGGGCACACCCTATTTTGGGCCATCAAGACTTAACATTTGTTAAACCTTCCCACAGCCTGAAAAGATACTTTTCCTGCATTGAATAGTCTCAATGTAAAGTCTGAGACAAGCGGCCCATGGAAGAGACACTAACATGTGTGTGTAGCCGTTTGCACAGTGCGGAAGCAGACAACAAAAAGAGAAATGTCTGGCATATGATCTGGAAAGAATGAGTTCCCTCGAGGTATGCCGTTTTCGCCTCTCATAACACATCAAGTGATAAGCACCATGAAACAAGTACCAAATATTTCTACTCAACAGTCAACTAAATTTTAAGTAAGCAGTTAAAAATTGTTGCCTCACAACAACTGACCTTGCAATCAACTTTCTCACGAGAGCAGATGGAGTGAGAAGCAATTAAAACAAAACCAGACGGTGTTGACTTGTCACAGTAATGCCAAGAGATGATGAACAAATATAGAAGAGATGGAAGGACAAGAAGCATCATCTTCTTTGCAACAGGAATCATCAGAGCCCTCTGAAAAGTATACTGTGCAGGATTTTCCCAAAACAAGACTCATACAAAAGTAATCCCTTTAAATTATTACTTATGACCTGCTAGGTGTGTGTGGCGCTGTACTTATCTGCAGAGGCTCTGCCCTCTGCCGGTATTTTCTTCTTATTTTGCTATGTTCGGGACGTTTAGGGGTACAGCAGGCAGGTGAGATCGTAACTTTATAAAAACAGAGCAACCAGGTGGAAACAGCCCTGAAAAATGCAATTATAACGAATCTAGGGTTGGCTTTAACTTTCACTGGTGTTTACAAGGGCTTAGCATAGGTACTCGATAGCAGGTATCGATCAAAATAACCCAGTACCAAGTAGTATCAAAACTTTTCCAGTCAACCAATACCAGCGTTCCATCCTTTTTTTTTTGATGGGGGTCTGATCCCCACCAGATCAACTGACTTTCTCTTGCTGCCGTCTCCAGAGCCGCTTTCACTCAGTTCAGCGTCTGCGTGGTTTGTATGAGCCAACACAGCAGCAGTGGCTAACGTCCAACACTGAACCGTTTTGTCCAAACAAACTCACACTGACACCAAAACAGCTCGACTCTGTCATTTAACCCGTTTATAATCTTTAGGTAACGTTAGCCATGTGATGCTAACAGTTAGCCCTGTCACTGTGCATATGTGTGGCTGGGTGAACTCTCACAACTGTCTGGAGTGGAGCTCACATTCCCACAACAGCCACTACAACCAATACAGTCTGTGGGGTGGTGAAGTTGAGCACAGCTGATGGAGCTACAAGTCAGTGCACAGAGATGCCTCCAAGACGTTTGAAAATATAGCTATACTACACACAGCTCCATTCACATCATGGGTATTGAATGAAGTACTCCACTGGCTGCAAAATCACTTTGAGGGGACTGGTATCGTAATTTCTCTCAACGATAGCCAGCCCTACAGTTTACAAACAGTAGCTGACTCCTGCATCGTACATCTTTCACAAAATATCATCTTTGTTTTCTTCTTAAACAAGGAGGAGCTAAGAAACAACTCAAGTCTCAGTCTAACTAGCAGCTGACAGAGTAAATATTCAATGTGTGATTGTATGAATAATTCAAAATACCATTCCATATCATATTTCAATGGAATAAATTACTTATTGACTTATTCATACTTCAAAAACAGCATCAATAAGTGATTAACATAGGGGGGATCAAAATAAAATAAATAAATAAAATAAAAATCAACCAGCCACCCTCCTCCCCTGACAAAACCATAAAAAAAAAAAAAAAAAACCAAAAAAAAAGAAAAGATTAAAGGACAATAACTGCCAAAAAGAAAGAAATGTGAAAGGCTTGTTTCTCCTCTGACACATCACATACCTGTGTTCGGCTGGCTCGGCTGTTCAGGTACTTCTGGGCAGTCATGACACCAAGAAGAGGATATTATTGGAGCTGACTTCTCCGTCGCCTGGTAAGCCGATGGCCGCCGTATTTGACAGGAATACATTAATGTTACTGTCTGTGTCTGTGAGCCCCGTTCAACCCACAATCGGTGGGATTCGCCTTTCGTTTCTGCTGCTGGTTGAAATCTGTAGGGTGCTTGCACAGCGTGCTGAATGATTTAAGCCTATTTTGCTCGCTCAAAACTATTTTTAGTCGCAAATGCGAGTGCCGTGACGGGCGGACCGCCACACTACCGTCATTTTATTCCGCCCGTCACGGCACGCTGTTTGATTGCGTTATCAAAACCGCGCCGCTATTATTCGGCCTTGCTTTTAACTTATTCCACCGAATACAGAATGTGTGGGATTTTTTTGCAATATTCGGCCGAATATATTCAGTTACCGAATATTTGGTGCATCCCTAGCGTTTGGTATTTTTACTTGACAAGCGATGAAATGTGAAAAATTTGAAATGCATTATGGCATTAATGTGTTTTTCATGACACAACTGGGGGAATGAATGCTGTAAGGTTACACTCAAAATGCCCCCAGATCACAGCAACAACAAAATCAGAGTAAACTTCAACAAGTCAAAGCTGCTTCTTCGAGGGTTGCAGGAGGTTAAATGTCACATCTGACACAGATCAGAGAGACCTTTGTGTGTGTGTGTGTGTATTGTGTTTATACTGTGTGTCTGTCTGACACGCAGCTATGTGGAGTGGAGTCTGGTTACACTCCAGCCAGGAACACCTCACTGCTCTGTCTGTCAACATGTTTCTGCAAGAGTGTGTGTGTGCCTGTGTGTGTGTGTGTGATGCAGTAAGTCCTTCTAAGGCTTTAAGAACGGGAGGGAAAGATCAACAGAGAGAGAGAGAGAGTGTGTGCCAAGGTAATAGATTGAAAAAGAGGGACAGACAGGAAATGTGAGAGTGAATGAATGGGGGGAGCGACCACGAAGCTACAGAGAAGCTACAGAGTGAAAAGGTAAGACTGAGGAGTATGAGAGTAAGAGGCGGGGAGGAAGATGCCAAGAGGCTGCATGCTTTCCTCGCTTTCACCCCATTACTCATCCCTGCGTTCACTCTACCCTGGCTCTACTTTCTCCCCTTACCTCCTTGCTCCTTTCTATTCGTCTGCTGTTTTTCATTCTGAATCCTTTAAAAACTGGAAGTTTAATGTGCATTTAGGACCTTATCTACCAGTGTCTCCTGCATTTGGACATGATTAGTTTGCTTTGGTGCAAAGGAGTGACTGAAAAACTTCACTTTTCACTTCAGGCACAGTTCATCCTGACGACAAATTTATATCTAATCACTGGGCTGAAGGTAATGTGTTCATTACGAGGGCTGAGTACTGAAATTCTACTGACCAAATTAGTACCAATTCACGTTCAATCTGTCAGTGCCAGATTTTGGTACCTGAGAACGCATAAGGGTGAGAATGCCAGGTTAAGACAAGAGGCGGAGGTGCTGCGGAGCCTCCCAAAGCCTGTAGGACAGCCACTGAGCTCTGAGGCCATCAACAGGGCTCTGTCGAGCCACCGGATTCAACTTCACACAGCAGACCGAAGCGCCCTGAAGCTGGGAGTCGGCCACAGAGCTCCATCGGCCTCCCAGTGAGCAAACACTATTGTGGCAGCACCACACTGCTGTAACAATTTCAGCATCTAGTCTATTGTCTTTTCTATATTATTTTAGTATTAGATTAGCATCCCTGCTAAACGAGCCGACACATACACACACACACACATGCAAGCAGACAGAGACAGACGATTAGCTCTGTGTATGATGGCAAAAGAGCAGAGGAGCAGGATTGCTTTTTAGTGTAATTAAATATTAAATATTTGTTAAAATTTGTTGTTATTCCGGTACCAAAAAAGAAAAGGCAGTGGAAAGTGTGCCCGTGTCAGTTCAAATGTGAACGTACCCAACCCTGTTCACTCCTTAAGTATCTGACAACCATTCAGGATGTCTGCAGGTCGTGAAATAAGTCTCTGCGCTAAATGTCTTGAAATTCTGTTACAAGAAATGTATCATCAACATCTCCATGTCCCTAAAATACATAGATTTATAATGCATGTGCTCTATATTTTGTTGTCATCTTTAAGGTGAAGTTGTACCTGGTATTTGCTTGAGGGAACTTTAACACACTGAGGCTCAGTTAATTTGCAGCCACTGTGGGCAACTTTGCATATTTTAGTTAAGCTTTAACTAAGGTTACACATTCTGTTCAACTTCCTTTAAACTGGCTGGTCAGTTAAGTCGACAGCACTTTGTTTACTTCATTTCTTCTTCATCTTATTGTCTCTTCCTCTGCTGTCAAACTGGACGACACTCCCAGCACACACACACACACACACACACACACACACACACTTATGCTGCCTTCCCCGTCCTCTCTGCACTGCACGTGGCCCGACGCCTCACTTGACTAATGGAGATCATCTCTCGCTGTCTTTCAGCCGCTTCACTGATTTATTAGGCAAACAGAACTTTTCAACTCCACACACCCAGCATCCTACACCAAACTGCAGCGGCAGGAGAAGACGAAAACGACAAGAGGCGGCGGAGTCGGATAGATGCTCCTGCAGGAAATTATGTTTGGGGAATGGCCACTTCCTGTTTTCCTTCAGTGAAATTAACTCTGAAACACCACCTGCTGCTTTAAATGCAGTGTGAGGCAACACACATCAGTGTACAGTACCTCACACAAACAGTTTTGGCAGCTTGCCCTTATAATTAACAGCTACTGAAATAAATTGTGTTTTCATTTGCTTTCAGGTGTTGCTGTGCATTAAAGCAACCGTCTCCAAAACACTGGAAGCGTGTTAATGAAATACAAGGGCCATAATTTATTCTACAAAGATGCTATACACCGTTTTGGTCAGAAAGTCTGTGCCCTGATATCAACTTAAAATAGTTATGTCTGGATTAAAACTAGAGGTGGCTGGGTTTGATTGAAGGTGAGGGATGGTTTAGTGAGGAAGCATCACACACACCAACCAGAGTCAACACTGTACCTTGATGTCAAAGTTGCAGTCGAAGCGCTTGATGAGGACGATGAAAGCGCCCGTCAGGTTGTCCCTCGGAGGGGGCTCGATGGGCTCGCAGGCATTTTCTGGCCGTGCCCCAATCAGGAAGCCCTACAGGGATGACATCATCAAACAAAACATGGTGAGATAAATACATGAATGGCTTCTATCCAAGTTTCCTTGGAAGTCAAACAGGCGGCGAGGGGTCAAATGAGGACTCATTTTCCAAAAGAAGATATCTTTCATTCATTTAAAAAGCACTATCTAGCCCTAAAAAACTGGCAACTGATTTATTTTGCTACTCTGTTTTTGGTTGACAGACTCTAAACCCTTAAACAAAAAGGTCCTCTGTATTCCAGTGATAAGTAACATCAAACAGTTTGTGTGTTTCAGATGTAAAGAACAGATCAAAAAGACCAGCATCTATAGCTGACTGGTATATTGCTGACAAGTTAATGACACTGATTCCCATTCATTCATTCATTCACTTTTACTTATTCCTGCATCAGTGTGTGTCCTCTAGTGTCAATAAATTAAAAAAAATACACTGGGGTAGTTACTGGTTACTACAGGGTCATCTAAGGGATTCATGTCAGTGCATTTGAAGTGAAATAACTGCTCATAAGCTGACTTTCTTACACATCTGAAGTAGGGCTGCAACAATTAGTCGATTAATCATTTAGTCAGTTGAAAGATAATTAATTGCCAACTATTCTGATAATCATTTCAGGCCTTTACCTAAGTAAAAATGTCAAAAATGTGCTTTTCTAGCTTCTTAAATGTGAGAAATTTGCTTATTTTCTTCGTCATTTGTGACAGTAAATTAAGAGTCATCAGGGGTCTCATTTATAAGCATTGCTTATAAATAAGCAAACAAAAAAAAAAACCTTTTTTGAGTGAACTGCAGTCTAAGATATCATCACACTGTTTGTCAGATTTTAGCAACCTGCTTAGTGAACCTGTATACTGTTAAATACATCACACACAACACAGTTACATCCCAGGATTCGGTGTCAGCTCCCTGACCCAAAGTATGAGTAGCGCCATCTTTGTTCAGCCCACACACTGCTCCCAGATAAACAACATCCATCACAACCACAGATAAAAAAAACAACAGAGAGGCAGTTCTCCTGCTGCCACAGATGTAACACTGGCAAATCAAACATGAATTTAACATGGTAATGCTTTCATGATTAATACAGAACTTTCCACTGGGGTGAAGAATATAAGTGACGCAGACACGACTATGATGTGTGTGTGTGTGTGTGTGTGTCTTTATCTGTCCTTTTAAACCTGTGTGTTTTTGCATGTATCAGAGTCTATAGCTTTATAAGTCAGCTGTTTTTTGGTTGCCAGGGTCTCAGTTTGCCCTGAAACACTTTGTCCCTTATATGTCCCATCTCTCAGTGTCTCTCTGCTGCTTCCTGTCTTGGTCCCATTTCCAACAACAGCTTTTTGAAGTGACTGATGAGACGGCGATAGTGAGAAGAGAGAGGGAGAGGGTTAGACGGAGAGGCTGACAGAGTGATAAAGGGAAGGAGAACAAAGGCGGAAAACAAGAAAACGATACAAATATGGAGGCAAGAGGAGTTAGAGAGCCACTGAGATGCAGACAAAAGGAGGAAAGCCAGAAAAAAAAAATAACGGATGGAGAGAGACAAAAATAGAAAGGTGAAGACAAAAAAGGCAGATGTGGGAAAAGAGAAGCAGCAGCACAGATACATGGAGAAGAAGTGACACACAAGAGATGAGGGGAGAGGGATCTAACATGATATATTTTTCCAAACGTCTGCTGCTCTTATGCAAGTGTAACTAACACCACTGTGTGTCTGTGTGCATGTGTGTGTGTTAGAGGCAGGATGGTGGACAGGAAGTGTAGACTGCTGTGGGACTCTGGGAATCTGCCAGCCACTTTCAGCTCCCTCCCTTAAAGACTTAAACACTTTTTAATATCAAGGAGAGTCAGCATTTTCTCTCACACAGACACACAGACACACAGACACACAGACACACACACACACACACACACACACACACGCACATACACAAGGCCGGTGTCTGCTCGCACCAAACTGATTCTCTGCGAGCGCATCTTGCCAGGTGCCAAAACAGCAGCTGAGCCACATATGGAACACGACCACAGTGACACATCACATTTGCGAACAAACTGAGCCACGCTGCACAACAGACGGGACAAAATTGCTGCCTGAATGCAGCACCAGGTTGTAGCCCAACACTGACAAAACCAGACGTACAAAAGGTTAAATTCAGGGATCGGAGAGATCTGTGAACTCTCACATCAGGGAGGAGTAATGTGTGACGAATCCCTCACTGCCGTCACCTCTGGGTGCCTTCTCCGGTGCAGTCCTGCCTTGCTGCTTTATGACATCACTGTGCCACTGCCTCACAGTCCTGCTCCTGACTTTGAAAACAATGGCAAGAGCGCCCTCTGCTGGGTGGAAGAAAACATCTTAAAAAACACTAAGAACTGCAGAGAGAGGAGCCCGGTGAAAAACAGGAAATAACTGAGGACAGAGGGGAAATCCTGAAAACGTATACTGAGAGGAGACGTTGACAAACTGCTGTCTGGATGAGGACATCACTTCAAACACCATCTAATGCCACCTTCAACTGATCATACCTGTCCAGTGCTCCAAGCTGGATGACATGGAGCTTTTGTATGACTATATCTTAATATACATCATCCTGTAGCGCCCAATTTATAAAAGCAGGAACATTTTAGAGACTGTTTACTGAAATCTTGTTGAGAGTGTTTTAACTTTCAACGTGTAGATGGTAGTGGCACCTGGGAGCCAAGACAAATAATAGACTGTCCAGAATTACAAGCATGGCCAGTAAATGTATTAATAAAGAGCAGAAACAACTGGGATGTATATAAAATGCAGGAAAACAAAAAGCCTGATGACATATTGTGTCTGACCCTGTTCATCCCCTTTTTTAAGTGTCATAAAATTGTCCTTGGGAAGACGCTATTGTGCCACTGCAGCAACCAAGAACATTTACAAAAAGTCTTTCATACCAAATAACTTTGCCAAATTCATACTAAGGCTGCAATTTATTATTATTTTTATTGTCGATTAATCTGTTGATTATTTTCTCAATTACTCAATTAGTTTTTTAGTCTATAAAATGTAAGAAAATGCTGAATAAGTCTTTCAGTGTTTCCCAGTGCCCACGATGGCGTCCTCCACAGCCCACAGATATTCAATTTACTGGCATAAAGGAGTAAAGAAACCAGAATTCATTCATGTTTAACAAGCTACAATCAGAGATTTTTTACTTTTTTTCTCAAGAAATTCCTTGAACTGATTCATAGATTAACAAATTAGTTGGTGATTTACTGGTGATAATTGTTGCAGCCGTACTTCGTAACATTTATACTAGAACCATGTTCGTTGTTGTCTCCACTGTGCATGTAGTGTTATTTATAGTATTGTGATTGACTATGTGTTTTAAGCAACCTGTGAAGCCGAAGGTAAATTTTCACATTTGTGGACAATAAAGTTTATTATTTACTGCAAACATGAGGTTCTGCTATCTGTGTATGGCAGGACATTGATTCCCAGCTGGTCCAGCCACAGGGTCCTGATTTATCCTTAGTCATTAGTTCCAGGTCCACACAGTTTAATACATTCAGTGTCACACTTGCGTTTGGCCATGTTGTCAAGCTAGTTTGCTGTCTTTGCCAAGTAGCTGTCCGTTAGTCACTCACTCTACAGCAGGGAACGGAACTTCAAAATAAAAGCTCTGTGCCAGAAATGCACTGTATGTAAAATTAAAGCGTGTTTTTTGCAAATTGTGGTCCATTCAGAAAGGACTCTAGACCCACTTTTGGACTGGGACCCACCAGCTGGGGACTACTGTGCTAGGATGAATCCCTGAGCTGTGAGTATGTTCTTGGATGAACAGCCAGTGTACAAATTTTTGTGCCTTCATTGTACTTGGAAATAAAGACACAAAGAGACATATCATAACCCAGCTCCCTGAGAGTCCTTGTGTCGTAATGATACCAAACTAAATATTCCATTATTGCATTATTGCATTGGTCTTGTGCCAAAGTGTCAAAGGATGAATTATTCATCAAGCATGTGATGTTGAAAAAGTGAAGTATCGCGACGCATTTGCACAACTTAAGTAGTGACACAGAAAAGAGGAAAGACTGATGTGCGAAGGTAGAAATGTGACAGTTAAGTCAACGGTAACTGCAGCCTTGGGTACACCTCAATCTTTTTTCTTTCCAGATACCAATTCAGATCCCATGACTTGTACAATACAAAGCAATATTTACCTGATATCAGTGCTCTTATTTTCCTAAATTTAAAATCTGTGCACCACACTGTAAAATCCTTTGACATGCTGTGACACTTAGAAGTCAGTCGATGTCCCCTATGACTGAGTGAATATAACTGATAGTGGAAATACTTAATAATATACTAAAAGTGACAAATGATCTGTAATCTGGAAATACCCCAAAATCTTTTCTTATTTTTAGTCATTTCTCCTGAGCAAACATTTTACACTGAACAAAGAGCCTTGAGTTAATAATGTAGCCACAAGTTCCTCTTTTTTTTAACACTGGTACCATGTTGTGGAACAGCCTTCCGCTACACATCAAGGGCCCTGTCTGACACCCAGTGCAAAGTGGCATAAAGCGGCACAAATTGGCACAACTGTCATTACTAGTTTCACGCAATTGTCATTGTCAAGTAGCACTTGCCCATGGGTGTGTAGGTTAGGTAGGCTTATTGCTATTTTGAGGCAGCAGAAAGACTGGATCTAAAGTCGATGGCGCAGTATTTTCCTGCTAGTTAAAGGGTGCATTATTCACATAATAAGATGCACCCATAGGCAGGTTCACAACGCACATATACTGCTTGTTACACACACAGTGGCACATGGATGGGTTGCATAATAACTCATTAATGAGGAGAGTATTAATTACATTCTCTAAAATGTGAACATAGCAGAGAGCAGAGCAGAGCTGCAGAGCTGCTGTCCGACTCTATTAAGAGAGACACTGTGTGCACTTATGCAAAGCAGCATAACTTTGTTGATGATTTCAGAGGCTAGAAGTTTAGTTCTGTTTCCTC